ACTTAAGAAAGTAGGTGACCGTAATGACTTTAGGATTTCTTGATTTTATTTTGAAAACCTTAAAAACTAATAGCTTTAAATGTTGGAAACATTTTAAGGTGTGGGTATTGCTTTCAAGTAACAAATTGTTTAATTTTTGTATGCTACAAAAAGTATTAGTTTTTGTCATTCCTTCCACAGAAATCCAGATAATCGCAATGCTGTATTTTTTAGCTATAATTTAACATTTTCCCAGGAATTAACTAAAGCGAAAAAATCTAAAAAGCGGAAATAATAAGAAAATTGCTAACATGTCAAAATAAACCACATTTACAAATAGCGTTTCTAAAAGCCATTTTAAACTATTTCTTTTAAAAAATTTTAAAATCGTATAGTTTAAATTTAATTCGATATTTATTGTGAATTTCCTTAATATTGCGTTTTTACTTCATACACGCTCTAAATAAGTGTAAATCCCATAGAAAATTGTTCTAGTTCAGTTCTTTTTCCGTTCTAGTTCAGTTCTAGTTTCGTTCTAGTTCACTTCTAGTTCAATTCTAGTTCAGTTCTAGTTCAATTCTATTCAAATCAAGTTCAGTTCTAGTTTCAGTTCTAGTTCAGTTCTAGTTCAGTTCTAGTTCAGTTCTAGTTCAGTTCTAGTTTAGTTCTAGTTCCGTTCGTAGTTCAGTTCTAGTTCAGTTCTAGTTCAGTTCTGGTTCAGTTCTAGTTCAGTTCTAGTTTCAGTTCTAGTTCAGTTCTAGTTTCAGTTCTAGTTCAGTTCTAGTTCAGTTCTAGTTCAGTTCTAGTTCAGTTCTAGTTCAGTTCTAGTTCAGTTCTAGTTCAGTTCTAGTTCAGTTCTAGTTCAGTTCTAGTTCAGTTCTAGTTCAGTTCTAGTTCAGTTCTAGTTCAGTTCTAGTTCAGTTCAGTTCTAGTTCAGTTCTAGTTAGTTCTAGTTCTAGTTCAGTTCTAGTTCTAGTTCAGTTCTAGTTCAGTTCTAGTTCAGTTCTAGTTCAGTTCTAGTTCAGTTCTAGTTCAGTTCTAGTTCAGTTCTAGTTCAGTTCTAGTTCAGTTCTAGTTCAGTTCTAGTTCAGTTCTAGTTCAGTTCTAGTTCAGTTCTAGTTCAGTTCTAGTTCAGTTCTAGTTCAGTTTCTAGTTCAGTTCTAGTTCAGTTCTAGTTCAGTTCTAGTTCAGTTCTAGTTCAGTTCTAGTTCAGTTCTAGTTCAGTTCTAGTTCAGTTCTAGTTCAGTTCTAGTTCAGTTCTAGTTCAGTTCTAGTTCAGTTCTAGTTCAGTTCTAGTTCAGTTCTAGTTCAGTTCTAGTTCAGTTCTAGTTCAGTTCTAGTTCAGTTCTAGTTCAGTTCTAGTTCAGTTCTAGTTCAGTTCTAGTTCAGTTCTAGTTCAGTTCTATTTCAGTTCTAGTTCAGTTCTAGTTCAGTTCTAGTTCAGTTCTAGTTCAGTTCTAGTTCAGTTCTAGTTCAGTTCTAGTTCAGTTCTAGTTCAGTTCTAGTTCAGTTCTAGTTCAGTTCTAGTTCAGTTAGTTCAGTTCTAGTTCAGTTCTAGTTCAGTTCTAGTTCAGTTCTAGTTCAGTTCTAGTTCAGGTCTAGTTCAGTTCTAGTTCGGGTCAAGATTACTTCTAGTTCAGTTCTGGTTCTAGTTCAGTTCTAGTTCAGTTCTAGTTCAGTTCTAGTTCAGTTCTAGTTCAGTTCTAGTTCAGTTCGGTTTCAGTTCTAGTTCAGTTCTAGTTCAGTTCTAGTTCAGTTCTAGTTCAGTTCTAGTTCAGTTCTAGTTCAGTTCTAGTTCAGTTCTAGTTTCAGTTCTAGTTCAGTTCTAGTTCAGTTCTAGTTCAGTTCTAGTTCAGTTCTAGTTCAGTTCTAGTTCAGTTCTAGTTCAGTTCTAGTTCAGTTCTAGTTCAGTTCTAGTTCAGTTCTAGTTCAGTTCTAGTTCAGTTCTATTCAGTTCTAGTTCAGTTCTAGTCCAGTTCTAGTTCAGTTTTATTCAGTTCTAGTTCAGTTCTAGTCCAGTTCTAGTTCAGTTTTACTTTAGTGCAAGTTCAGTTCATTTTCTTCCCGAAGTAGTTCTAGACTAGAGATAAACATTTATATCTGATAAAAAGAACCAACTTTTTTAAATGTTATTTGATTATTTTTTGCTTCGTCTATTTAATTTAAAATGTCCTGTTAAGCCATCGAAACGGTACCAAAAAATTGGCACAGCTTTAGTTTGTGAGTTTGTGTTAGTTTGTAAGTGTATGTATTTATTCTCAGGCATAACGTACAAACAAGAAAATAACTGTAAAAGTTTCTTTTATGGAAGTTTTTTTTCACTCTCCGGTTCACAATAAATACACACTTCAGCAACACACAAAAATTCACTCTAACACATACCTACTTGTGTAACTACAAAAGATTGTTTACAGAATGACATTAATTTCCGTTACATTTTTTTCTGTGTGAATTCCATTCTTCTTCTTTTTTTGGGGATATGAAATGTTTGCAAGTGAGTGACTGACTGAATGAGTGCGTGCTATTTTTTATTTTAAATGTTGCGAAGGTAGTTGTAGTAGGTAGTCTAATACTAAACAACTGTTTAGCTTTTGTTGCTGTATGTAGTTGTGATAATTGCATATAATCACACACAAACAAAACAAAGATAATTACATCTTTATAAATATTAAAATGGCCCAGACGGTTCTGGAAAAATGTCATATTATATAGGTAGAGGAGACAGGATTTGGTTACCATCCGATTTCATAAAAATTGTTTATCTCCTTATATTCGACGCCTTCCTAATGTAAATACTACCGTGACGTGAGTTAAACGGTTCTTTCGGTTGTTTTGTAGTTTACGCATTGCAACCTTTCGAAAGGGTTTTTTTAGTTATACATATATCGCCGTTGTTAATGCTGTAACAAAAATTGTTTTTCTCATTTTGCTTGTTGTTTTGTTACAAAAACAAAATTACAAAACAGCCAAAGTATAATATCTACTAAACTTTTTTTGAGTTGTACATTTGAGTCAAACCTTTTGCATGTCTCATCAACGCGTTAAACGAAAAAAACTGGTGAAAGCTAAAAAAAAGAAAAGACAAGAGGACTGAGAAAAGCGAAACTACAACTTTAAATTAAGACATATCCTTCCGTCGGACCCGCTGGCTCGCTGTCAATGTAAACCATGTAAACCAGCACAATATATACTTATCCGGTAAATAGGGAAGTAATATTGGAGCAAAGTGTAAGTACTTTTGTTCGGGTATGACCAAAAAATACTTAGTTACAAATGTGCTAACCCGACTTTTCCGGATTTAAAACCAGCTTTACATTTATTCTAGGTAGTTAGTTAGTTAGTTAGTTAGTTGTTAGTTTAGTGTTAAGTTAGTTAGTTAGTTAGTTAGTTAGTTAGAGTTAGTTAGTTTTAGTTAGTTAGTTAGTTAGTTAGTTATGTTAGTTAGTAGTTAGTAGTTTAGTTAGTTAGTTAGTTAGTTAGTTAGTTAGTTTAGTTAGTTAGTTAGTTAGTTAGTTAGTTAGTAGTTAGTTAGTTAGTTAGTTAGTTAGTAGTTAGTAGTTAGTTAGTTAGTTAGTTAGTTAGTTAGTTAGTTAGTTAGTTAGTTAGTAGTTAGTTAGTTAGTTAGTTAGTTAGTTAGTTAGTTAGTTAGTTAGTTAGTTAGTTAGTTAGTTAGTTAGTGTTAGTTAGTTAGTAGTTAGTTAGTTAGTTCGTTAGTTAGTTAGTTAGTTAGTTAGTAGTTAGTTAGTTAGTTAGTTAGTTAGTAGTTAGTTAGTAGTTAGTTAGTTAGTTAGTTAGTTAGTTAGTTAGTTAGTTAGTTAGTTAGTTAGTTAGTTAGTTAGTTAGTTGTAGTTAGTTAGTTAGTTAGTTAGTTTAGTTAGTAGTTATAGTTGTTAGTTAGTTAGTTAGTAGTTAGTTAGTTAGAGTAGTTAGTAGTAGTTAGTTAGTTAGTTAGTTAGTTAGTTAGTTAGTTAGTTAGTTAGTTAGTTAGTTAGTTAGTAGTTAGTTAGTTAGTAGTTGTTAGTTAGTTAGTTAGTAGTAGTTAGTTAGTTAGTAGTTAGTTAGTTAGTTAGTTAGTTAGTTAGTTAGTTAGTTAGTTAGTAGTTAGAAAGTCAATTTAGCTCTTGCCCTTCCTTTGATTTTTTAAAAAATTAAATTAAAAACTAACAAGTTTCCGTTGCCTTGCAATAATTTTTCTTTATTGCATCCTTTGCTGCCACAAATTTTCAGGTGCAAAAAAAAAAATTCATTTTGCAGAATTTAACTTGCAACACTTTAGTCCATTTTTTCCTGGCTGCCACTTTTTCGTTATTTGCAAAGTTCTGTTATATATTTTCTCTGCTTTTTTATTACATTTTTATACCGAGTTGTTTTTGGTCTTTAGCAAATTTCATTTGTTTTTTTTTAACTTGAACGTAAACTAGTTGTGACAAGTTCAGTTACAAAATTTAAATTCAGCACTTTAAGGAGGTTCTTATAGTTCAGATTGTTTTTGGTTTTTCTGTAATTTTTTATTGTGTTGTGTTGGACAAAGTGCTGTGAGTTGATATCTTCTGACCTTATGCTGTCAAGTGCTGTTTGTAATGTGTTTGGTAAGCTATTATTTGCAACACTTTTACAAGTTTTATTCATAAATGTATTTATTGTATTGTATATATTCAGTTCTAGATTAATAATGAGACTTAACATTGTAATGGCAATTTCTTACTATGTATATTACATGTTCTTCAAAAATGGTCGTGTTGTCAATTGTTTAGTGAAATATTCAGCAGATATGGACATACATCAATACATACTTATAAACCTTGATTTAATTGAGATTTAGAAAAAATATTTTTGATATAACATTTATTAATTTGCGTTAGACATTTTGCAAAGATTGATCCTTAAATGCTTATTCTTTTCTGTTCTTTTGTTGTGAACTTCTTGGATATTGTTCTTGCATTTCAAAAAAAATGTATCGGAGGAAGATGATTTCGTTGTGGGTATGTTAACATCTTTATTTGCACTAGTAGTCACTTTTATTTTTTATCCAATTTAGTTGGCTCCACCTACTGGAAAAAATTTGTGAAGAATATCGATCAATTTTAAAAATTTTCAAATTTTATGATGGAAAAATTTTGTATAGAAAATATCGTAAATAATCAGTTTTCTATAAAATCCTAAACATTTTTTAAACAGGAAACTTCTCGAAAACCTATCTGAGAGAATTCTTGAATATTTTTATTTCGAAGATATCTGGGGTCTTCAGAAATTGATTTCTACAGACACACACACAGACGGACAGACAGACGGACATGGCTTAATCGACACCGCTATATTGTATAGAGAATATCGTGAATGACTAGACAGATAGACAGACAGACAGACGGGCATGCCTTAATCAACTCCGCTATTTTGTATTGAGAATATCGTGAATGACCAGACAGACAAACGGACAAACGGCTTAATCGACTCCGTAATCTATAAGGATCCAAAATTATATACCCTTCTCGCGAAGGTGAAGGGTATAAAAAGTAGGCTTAAAAGGGGCGTGGTTTATATGTTAACCTTAGAATAATACGAAAAATTGAATTTCAAAACAACAACCTAACTAACCTTATGTTTATCCTTGTCGCGCATTGAACCCTCGGAAGATGTTATGCTATTCGATTTTTTGGGCTTTGCTGGTACACCAGGGGGCTTTCTAACTGCTGGTCTCGTTGAAGCCACATTCTCTTCCAAAGTATTACTTTGAATAGGTTGATGAGGATGTGTGGTATCCAGTAAATACCTAAGATCAGCTATCAGACTATCTCTTATCTCATTGGGAGGTTTTTGTGGCATTTGTTGTTGCTTTAACTCCTGACCACGAGAGGAACTGGGACCGGTATCAGCTGCAGCAGTTGCCTGCAACTGCGATAACCTAGGAGGTCTGTGAGGCGAAGTACTTTCCCGGCCAGTATCCAACATAAATTGTAAATCATGTAAAACACTGGTTCGTATCTCCTGATTAATTTCCGGTTTCTTTTGACGTGGTGTTAGGATAATTTGTAGATCTTCCAAAATTTTCTCTTTAGTCTCTTTGTCATACTTCTTTTTCTTTGATTTTTGTTGGGTTTTAGGATTCAGTATATGCTTTATGCTTTGTATAATACTTTCTTGAGAGTCGGAGGTTTTAGGTGAGTTGGGATCCGTTGAAACTGTTTCCGGTTTAACAAGATAGCTTATATCTTGTAAGGCATTTTCCCGACTAATTTGTTTGGGCAAACGTCCAGCGCTATCAGGATGAAAGAGTTTATAAAGGTCAAGTAAAATTTCATCTCTTTTCTTCGGCTGCATATTTTGTTTTCGATTTTGAGGGATTGGGTTCTAAAAGTTCTTTCAATTCCTCTTGGATTTCATTGCGCATTTCATTACGTTTATAGTGACCAGAGGCTTTAATGGCAGAAGCATCTGTTTGTACAGTTTCGGTTACTACGCTGAAGGGTTTGGTTGTTTCTAAGGGTTTGGAAGGAAGAGCGGGTTTTCTGTTAGAGGCTGTAAAGGGTGGTAAGCTGGTAAAGGTTGTAGGGGTACATTTGTAGTTGCTAGATCCGCATAGTTACTGGGCATACTATGTCTAGCTGGTGTTTTCATTTGAGAGGATTCTTTTGGCCTTAAATCGGTGGTGGGTAATGAAAAACGTTTACCTTCCATTAGAGCTTTAAGAGCCGCTATAGGTGTAGTTTGTTCTAGGGCAGCTCTGACTTCTCCCAAAAGATCGGCTCTAAGTTTTTGAGCTTTTAATTTCGGATCTGGTTGTGTAGTTACTGGTGCTGTTGGTTGTTCAGTTTGTGTAAAATCAACTTTACTGTTAGGATCTTTTGACTCGGTCATTGTAGTGGCTATAACACTGGCTGGTTGAGACATTCGGGTACCTATGGTTTTAGTTAATGCGGGAGGTAATTCTTCTGCAGTTGGCATGCGTTTCTTTATAATATCTAGAACTTCATTTAAAGAAGTTTCTCCACCAAGTGGGGGCGTTTCATTGGGTTTTATAATACCGGAATTCGAAATGCAAGAGTAAAAGAGATCACTGCCATTTTTCTGCTGAGGTTGGTGGGTAGTTATGGCTGGAGTTTGGTGGTATACTGGTGCACTTGTAGACGGAAATATTGGTACTAGATGTCTTATAGGTTGCTGTACATTTTGTGATTTAATTTGTTGTCCCGAAGAGGCCTCCATTATAATTTCCGTTTCTATGAAACGTGATTGACAATTTTGTGAGTCAATTTGCAATTTTAAGGGTATGGTGACACAAACAGGATTTAAATTTAGAACTTGTTTAGCTGGTTGTTGGACTTGTCTTAAGGGTTTTGAGCATTTTACTTTCTGACAAGTTTGTGAAGATTTCTCGCAGACTCTTTCCTCTTCATCTGCCGGCACATTAGAGTGACAAGGCTTTTCACCTCTTAACACTGCACACCTTTCACAAAAGTCCAAGTGTTGTAAATCTTTCTCATATTGTTTACAAACATTAGTCTCCACTAAACAAGCAGGACTTTCCGGAAACCAGTTAGAGAAATCACATTCCTGTTTGATAATCCCTTTGGAAATTTCTTCTGGTTTGTCAACTTCCTTCAAATCCTCCATTGTCTTTGCTGTCAAAGATTTCTGGGAACTTTGGCCATAACATATAGCATTTTCCGGCTGTACAGCTTTCAAACATAAGTCACACATATTTTCTTTATCCTGGCAGCTAGAGCATACAAATCCTTGCTGCTCCTCTGTAAATTTCCTTAAACTTGCTGACTTTTTCTTTTCGCGTTTAACTTTTTTAAAGGAATCATATCTTTCCTCTTCCAAATGCTTCTGCTTATTGTGAGGTATTGCGATGTTAATAACTTCCAAAGGATTCATATCACCACAAGCCATTTGCTTAAAAGGACTTTCTCCTAAATTCTGATTACATTTCCTAGTTTACTATAAGCCTGACGAAAGGTACGATACAAGACATTCGAAGTATAAGCCATTTGTTTGAGTAGACTTTTAAATTCTCTGGGATTTTTTATTTCATTAATAATCTCAAATATTTGCAATTGAGGTTCGAGCTCACTTTCACAATCGTAAAACACTTCCTGTTGCTCACATGGTCCTACGCCACCTCCTTCTAATCTGTTAGCTTGTTTCTCGTTTGCCTGTTTTATAAACCAAGAATCTGCATATAAATACTGGGAGTTTAAATCCATTTGATTTGTTTTTAGATTTAAAAAGTTCATAAAATTTTCTTTGTTTTCCGCTGGATGGTCTGAATTACTATAGAATTTCTTACGTCTCTTTTTCATGTGCAACGGATAAGGATTACTATCAAAACGTTTTCTCGAAGACCAATTAGTCATTTTGTGGGGAAAATGTTTACAAAAAATTTTTAATTTTCAATTTTGTTACAAATTGCTAAAGATTTCTAAAACTTTAAAATTTTCAAATAGTTTTTCAAAGAAAATTTTCGAAATAAAAAAAAAATAAATTGTCACAAAAAACTTATTTTTGAAAATTGTTAGAAATACATTTGAGAATGAAACAAACACAGTGTTGGAAAATATCTTTTTAATAATACAAATTGTATAAAAATTATTAATTTTTATTTTCTTTCTATTTCTTTTAGGTGTGAATTTTAACACTTAACAAATGTAAGTATTTTTTTTTAAATTTACAAAAATATTTTATGGAAAAAAATAAAAATCTAGAAAGTAAATTAAGTTTATTTATTAAGAAAAATATACTTCCATTCGAAGGCCTCTAGAGTTCATTGTGTTAAAAAAAGATACAAATGCAAAGGTTATTTCCGACCTTTCCATGTTTATATAAATTCTTGACTCTGACCAACCACTTTTAAATGGACAACTTTAACATCAGTATGAACTTTTGAGAAAAATAGAGTTTTAAATTTTGTTTGTAAGATAAAAATGGGCGTGAAACCGCCCATAATCTAGTCTATAGTCTAGTCTATAGTCTAGTCTATAGTCTAGTCTATAGTCTAGTCTATAGTCTAGTCTATAGTCTAGTCTATAGCCCAGTCTATAGTCTAGTCTATAGTCTAGTCTATAGTCTAGTCTAAAGTCTAGTCTAAAGTCTAGTCTAAAGTCTAGTCTATAGTCTAGATTATAGTCTAGTCTATAGTCTAGTCTATAGTCTAGTCTATAGTCTAGTATATAGTCTAGTCTATAGTCTAGTCTATAGTCTAGTCTATAGTCTAGTCTATAGTCTAGTCTATAGTCTAGTCTATAGTCTAGTCTATAGTCTAGTCTATAGTCTAGTCTAGTTAGTCTAGTCTATAGTCTAGTCTATGTCTTCTAAGTCTAGTCTATAACCTAGTCTATAGTCTAGTCTATAACCTAGTCTATAGTCTAGTCTTATAGTCTAGTATATAGTCTTGTCTATAGTCTAGTCTAAAGTCTAGTCTATAGTCTAGTCTATAGTCTAATCTATAGTCTAGTCTATAGTCTAGTCTATAGTCTAGTCTAAAGTCTAGTCTATAGTCTAGTCATATAGTCTAGTCTATAGTCTAGTCTATAGTCTAGTCTACAGTCTAGTCTATAGTCTAGTTATAGTCTAGGTCTATAGTCTAGTCTATAGCCTAGTCTATAGTCTAGTCTATAGTCTAGTCTATAGTCTAGTCTATAGTCTAGTCTATAGTCTAGTATATAGTCTAGTCCATAGTCTAGTCTAAAGTCTAGTCTAAAGTCTAGTCTAAAGTCTAGTCTAAAGTCTAGTCTATAGTCTAGTCTATAGTCTAGTCTATAGTATATTCTATAGTCTAGTCTATAGTCTAGTCTAAGAAGTCTAGTCTATCGGCCTAGTCTATAGTCTAGTCTATAGTCTAGTCTATAGTCTAGTCTAGTCTATAGTCTAGTCTAGTCTATAGTCCTAGTCTATAGTCTAGTCTATAGTCTAGTCTATAGTCTTAGTCTATAGGTCTAGTCTATTAGTCTAGTCTATAGTCTAGCTATAGTCTAGCTCTATAGTCTAGTCTTATAGTTCCCTAGTCTATAGTCATCTATGTCTAGTCCTATAGTCTAGTCTTATGTCTAGGTCTATCAGTCTAGGTATAGGTCTAGTATAGTCTAGTCTATAGTCTCAGGTCCTATATAGTGCTAGTCTATAGTCCTAGTCTATAGTCTAGTCTATAGTCTAGTCTATAGTCTAGTCTATAGTCCTAGTCTATAGTCTAGTCCTATAGTCTAGGTCTATAGTCTAGTCTATAGTCGATCTATAGTCTGGTCTTATAGTCTAGTCTTATAGTCTAGTCTATAGTCTAGTCTAGGTCTATAATCTATAGTCTAGTCTAGCATCTAGTCTAGTCTATATAGTCTATCTAGTCTATAGTCTAGTCTAGTCTATAGTCTAGTCTATAGTCTAGTCTATAGTCTAGTCTATAGTCTAGTCTATAGTCTAGTCTATAGTCTAGTCTATAGTCTAGTCTATAGTCTAGTCTATAGTCTAGTCTATAGTCTAGTCTATAGTCTAGTCTATAGTCTAGTCTATAGTCTAGTCTATAGTCTAGTCTATAGTCTAGTCTATAGTCTAGTCTATAGTCTAGTCTATAGTCTAGTCTATAGTCTAGTCTATAGTCTAGTCTATAGTCTAGTCTATAGTCTAGTCTATAGTCTAGTCTATAGTCTAGTCTATAGTCTAGTAGTCTATAGTCTAGTCTATAGTCTAGTCTATAGTCTAGTCTATAGTCTAGTCTATAGTCTAGTCTATAGTCTAGTCTATAGTCTAGTCTATAGTCTAGTCTATAGTCTAGTCATAGTCTAGTCTATAGTCTAGTCTATAGTCTAGTCTATAGTCTAGTCTATAGTCTAGTCTATAGTCTAGTCTATAGTCTAGTCTATAGTCTAGTCTATAGTCTAGTCTAGTCTAGTCTATAGTCTAGTCTATAGTCTAGTCTATAGTCTAGTCTATAGTCTAGTCTATAGTCTAGTCTATAGTCTAGTCTATAGTCTAGTCTATAGTCTAGTCTATAGTCTAGTCTATAGTCTAGTCTATAGTCTAGTCTATAGTCTAGTCTATAGTCTAGTCTATAGTCTAGTCTATAGTCTAGTCTATAGTCTAGTCTATAGTCTAGTCTATATTCTAGTCTATAGTCTAGTCTATAGTCTAGTCTATAGTCTAGTCTATAGTCTAGTCTATAGTCTAGTCTATAGTCTAGTCTATAGTTTAGTCTATAGTCTAGTCTATAGTCTAGTCTATAGTCTAGTCTATAGTTTGGTCTATAGTCTAGTCTATAGTCTAGTCTATAGTTAGTCTATAGTTTAGTCTATAGTCTAGTCTATAGTCTAGTCTATAGTCTAGTCTATAGTCTAGTCTAGTCTAGTCTATAGTCTAGTCTATAGTAGTCTATAGTTTAGTCTATAGTCTAGTCTATAATCTAGTCTATAGTCTAGTCTATTGTCTAGTCTATAGTCTAGTCTATAGTCTAGTCTATAGTCTAATCTATGGTCTAGTCTATAGTCTATTCTATTCTAGTTATAATCTATAGTCTATTCTGTAGTCTAGGCTATAGTCTTTTCTATGATCTAAAGTCTAGTCTGTAGCATAGCCTATAGTCTAGTTATAGTCTAGTCTATTTTTTTAATTATAACAAAATGTATAATTTTAACTTTTAAAAAAGTATAATATTCAGTTTTTTTTTTTAATTTTTCTACAGAAATTAAATATGTTTTCAAAAATATTAGTAAAAAACAAAATATTAATCCTTGTTGTTATATTATAAAAACATAAAGTTTATGTCTGGCCATTTTTTAAAACTAAAAATTATACCTTTTTATAAAAAGAAAAATATTAAATATCCATGTCTGATTACAAAGAAATACAAATTTAACCTTTTTACGCTTGTTTAAGCTTGATTTTTTAAATATGACATTAAACCAAATGGATGAAGGATATTTTGTATAAATATGAAATTTTTGTTTTTATTGGTTTGCTAATAAAGTTTTTATTTGAACATTTCCATACATGTGGGAGTTTTTGAATTTTTTCTAAAATTATAAGTTAAAATAAGTTTTAGTTTTAGAAAACCAAAAAAAAAAAAAAAAATAAAAAATAAAAACCTTTGGTCATGATTAACATAATTTTGTGAATATATAAATAAAAACCGGATGTATGTATGTATGACAAGGGTGTGTGAGTATAATGGTGTGTGTATGAAGCACCGTGTGGTTTTAAACGGAATACCACAATATTAATATGAACACACATACTAAAACAATGTATACTCAAGTAAAAGTTAAATTAAGAATAAAGAAAATAAAAGAATCGAAACCAAAATTACCATATATATGAGTTGTGAAATAAAAGGCTGAAGGAAAAGGATTATTTTACATGCGTTGTTTTTTTTTTCTTGCATAATCTTCTTATAAATTACTAGCAGAGTTTGGTTTTTTTGCTGCTAACAAAAGTTTGTTTTTACAAGAAAGTTTTTCGTTTCGGGCGGAAGTAGGTGATTAGGGGAATGCTAGGGTGGGGTAGTTTTGTTAGAAACGATTATGTAGGTCGTCTTTGTGTAAATATTGTAGTTTAAAATTTTTTATTTACGCAGTTTGAGAAATGTTCTTTCGTAGCAACACTTTAGCAATTCTATTTATAGCTTAATTTTAGCTCTAATTGCGTATCAACTAATGTTTCCATCATAGTCAAGTTTTAGTTGAATTTACATTTATGTTTAATTTTCTGGCAGACTGTCTTCTCTATAAATAGCCTCTAGTTCAATGATGACCTTTGACCTTGTGAAACAAAAATAAAATCATTTGACTTGTTGTTAGAAAAATATAAAAATTGATTGTGAAAATAAAATTCATAAACATATAAAACCAAATTTTAATTGCATGAATTTATAAATTTTTACTTAATTTACTGCCATTATATTTTTAACTTTTTAAGGCAAAAATTAAATTTTTTCTTGTCGCTTGAAACAAAAAAGGCCCAAAACAAATATAAAATCTGAACCGCAATCATGTACAGATAATAAACATTTTTAAAATGAGAGAAAACAAAACAAAAAGAGCAAAAAAGCAACGTCAACACTACCGACGAGATTGTGCACAATGGGAAGAAAGAGAATTTGTAGAAAAAAATTATCTAAACTAACTATTCTGACTAGACTACAGACTATACTATAAACTATACTATAGACTATACCATAGACTAGACTATAGACTAGACCATAGACTAGACTATAGACTAGACCATAGACTAGACTATAGACTAGACTATAGACTAGACGATAGACTAGACTATAGACTAGACTATAGACTAGACTATAGACTAGACTATAGACTAGACTATAGACTAGACTATAGACTAGACTATAGACTAGACTATAGACTAGACTATAGACTAGACTATAGACTAGACTATAGACTAGACTATAGACTAGACTATAGACTAGACTATAGACTAGACTATAGACTAGATATAGACTAGACTATAGACTAGACTATAGACTAGACTATAGACTAGACTATAGACTAGACTATAGACTAGACTATAGACTAGACTATAGACTAGACTATAGACTAGACTATAGACTAGACTATAGACTAGACTATAGACTAGACTAGACTAGACTATAACTAGACTATAGACTAGACTATAGACTAGACTATAGACTAGACTATAGACTAGACTA